GATGGGCTGTCACAGTGAGTTTGTGTGCAGGGAAGAATTGGGTAAACTGAGAGATTGTTACATAGTTTATGTATAAAGAGTCAGATCTGTACACTCAGGGTATTTACCTGCTCAATATGTTAATTGCAGAAAGCGCATATCACCAATAACGTTCTGATTGCAAAAATGCTCATAGAAAAATCAACATTCTAATGCACTCTGTAGAGAATGTTTCGAGTGTATCTCAGCATAATAAATACTTACATTCCATCACAACAATCTCTTCCAGCACAGTACTGAATAATCTATCCTGTGACCCAGAGATTCATTAGTGCACTATCTATCTTAAGAGTCCATTTAGGGATCTGCAGTAGTATACTGGACGCTATCCCTTATCTGCCAATTAAGCCTAGAACCTGTTTTTTGGGGTTATCTACTAAATATCTACTTTAGATTTTATATACTTTACACTATATAGGTTTATTCAAGCCGATTTAGTTTTTTACTCTTTGATACTTATGCCCTGAATTTTATCAGGGTAGAACTGTGCGCTCAGTTACCTACATTTAGGTGCTATCAGAGACTATCATAATAGTGGAGAGCAATTTCTTATGCTATCCACTGTCAGTTTTCCCGATCATGACTATTTCATCTGGGGTCTGCTGTGGACTCTGCCGATCGTGAGGGTGCACGGACTGACTGATTTAGCTGGCGGATGCACGAACTCACAAAAGGACAGTCTTTTACAGGGATCCAGAGCATGTGAATGGATGCTGTTTTTTAATACTGTGGAAATAAACCGTTTTACCTTATTGGCTGCAGTGGATCTTTCTGCATTTGGAGCTGTCAAAAGTAGAGCAGGCTCATTTGCTCTCTGCTTGTGAGTGAAAATTCTACATACACTCTGTATTTGATTTTTTTTAAAGCAATACTTCACTATATATGTTTTGTATTGTATTTCTTTTTTTATGTACCACTATTTGAAACCGAGGTTTACTTCAAGTATATGATTCTAGTAAGTGTACCATATTTGGTCTTTTAATGCACTAGATCACTTTACAATTTTTGCATTAAGCATTTTTTTTCCATACTGCACTTATAAAAAGAGTGGTATAAGTGTTTGCATGTAGCACTTGCACTTTTCACTTTATAAGAAAGTGGTATAAATTGTCTGCACTACCTCACTATATGCCAATGACCTTTACTCAGTAATTTCCATTAGGGTAATAGGACTGGAATTGGGTGTGTCTCTTTGCAGACCTGTTTCAAGCCCTCTCTATTACTCCATTATAACACATTGCATTTCATGTGATGCATGTACCTAATACCACAAGGTCCCACGAATTAAATCACAACTCAGTGAAAATATATGTTCTACAAGACACAAGAGAAGGGAAGATCTCCAGTAACTCAGAACAGCCATTACAGTGATCTATCTCCAAATGGGCAAAAACTGTCGTAAACCTGCAAGACCCCAACACTAATTATCAAAACTTTGCGCAGAACATCTGTCTGCCTGATGCTCTTTCTTTCCCCCTATTGTATCGCCATGAGACATATTCATTTCTCCCCAGGACTCGAGGCCCAGGCTCTCCTCAATGTTCAGCACTGAGCAGACTGTTAATTCTGTATAAAAGCATAACAACTTTATCTGGAGGGATTCCCGGCTGAGAGAGCATAAATGGTTTCATCTTTATTGATTCCATTAAGAATTTTCCTTCTCCTGTATGCCGCTTACAAGGACAGAGAGGCGACATCTGCCATATTACCCATAAAGAGGCTGTTTTCTGCCCCCTTTGTACACACATTACCGTCTGTACAACCAAATTGCCAATTACCACTTTATCACTCGTTGAGTTAACATAGCAGGAGGTAAGCCCAAAATAAAACCAGGAAATACTGCTTTTCAACCATTCAGGGAGCAGCTGGCACCTGCACAACCCATTATAGGGTGTAAAATTCAACTAAATCCCCTCAAATAATGAATCTTACGTGCCAGAGTCTTGTTAATGTCAGGCAATATTCACCAATTTCTAGGAGCTTCCTACGTTCGTAGATAATACCTGTGACATTTATGTCCTCCATGTCCATTTTACAGTATAAAAAAGTAAGACATTTCATCGGATAATAAACCAAGGAGGATATCAATAATATTTAAACGTAAAATAAAATCTAAATTATACTGCCATAAGTGCAACAGGTTTCATATCATAATCTGAATGTGTCTAAAATATAAAAAAAAGAGAGAGAGAGAGGAATACTGCAAACTTTTTACAATCTTGGTGCAACCAAACCTGGGGTTGGCTACCCCTCCTGTGATAGTTGAACAAAAATTGTAGTCCAGGCACACAAGGATCAATTCAGCAGGTTTATTGGAACAAAGTGCAACGTTTCGATACCACAAGGGATCTTTCTCAGCTTGTTCCAATAAACCTGCTCAAGTGATCATTGAGTGCCTGGACTACAATTTTTGTTCAACTAAAATGTTATAGCAGACTAGTTAAAGGAACACTATAACGTTAGGAATACATGTTTAGTGTTTTTTTTGTTTGTTTTTTCCCAAGCTCAAGAAACAAGTGGAAACATTAAAGGACCACTATAGGCACACAGACCACTACAGCTCAATTGTTTACATGAGAATGCCCGAGGGATGGGTAGTAGACACCAGAGCAACTATATTAAGCTGTAGTTGCTCTGGTGGCTATGGTGTCCCTTCAATACTGATGGGGAAGAGCAACTGCTGTCTCACTTTGCATTGTCTGGCATCAAATAAAAATGTAAAATGTCTCATGTCTCCTGTGCTTGGCTTATGAAATGCATGCACTGCACATTATCACAGGAAAAGGTTACAAACACACAAAAAAAGTCAACTCTACCAACAACATTTCTATCAGCTGTAGCGCAGTCCAAATAGGTGGCATTAATCTGGTACATCATCAGAAACTTTGCCCTCACCCTATACAAACCTGCAAATCTCTAATAAAAGGTACCTTGTGAAAAGTAACCCTGGTAACCTTGCCTCTCATTGCCCATACTGATCTGATTCAGCTTTCCTGGATTGAACCTGCTTGAGGCATCACACAGACAACAGCGGTACTGCCACGAGAGAGCATGGAGAACTGGGAGTACTATACTGAAATGGGAAAAAGACGGACACACATTCTAATAATATATGTTCGTAAATAATAAACAAACTGACTTTAATGCTGGCTGTGGCACTTTAATATAGCAGACAAATTAGAAAAGAATTTGAGTGCAATCACACAAACTGCTTTATACTGTGCGCATATTGCCCCTTTAATTAAATGTTGTGAAACAAAATCTAAGCAGTTGCTGAGTTAGGCAAAAGGAGATAATTTGTTAATACAAATATAAAGGTTACAATTACGTCAGTAACTCTATCCACGTCGATAACCAGATAAATGTGGTTACATTATTATTGATATAGATCACTAGTGGGTAGAAATACCTATTCCGAACAAAGTATGCCTGTGAGAGGATGGGTACATATTGTACAAGGAATTACTACAAGATAGGTTAATGATTAACCCCTTAAGGACGGAGCCAAATGTACACGTTGTGAACGAAACAAAATGTAAACAAAACCTGGCATTTGCGCTACATGTCTGTCCAACCGTAATTCACCTCTGTCATATTAAATGCACCCACCCTTATTATATATAATTTTATTCAGGGGAAACAGGGCTTTCTTTTAATATCAAATATTAAGCTATGAAACATAATTTAATATGAAAATAATGGGAGAAAATAAGATTTTTTTTTAATTTTTTTAGTTCTACATGACATTTTAACTGTCAATGTCATAATACTGTTTGCTTTTACTGCAATAAAATACACATATTTGTATTCAGCGATGTCTCACGTGTAAAACAGTACCCCCTATGTACAGGTTTTATAGCATTTTGGGAAGTTACAGGGTCAAATATAGCACGTTACATTTGAAATTGAAATTCGCCAGATTGGTTACGTTGCCTTTGGGACTTTATAGTAGCCCAGGAATGAAATTTACACCCATAATGGCATACCATTTGCAATAGTAGACAACCCAAGGTATTGCAAATGGGGTATGTCCAGTTTTTTTTAGTAGCCATTTGGTCACAAACACTGGCCAAAGTTAGCGTTAGTATTTGTTTGTGTGTGAAAAATGTAAAAAACGACAATTTTGGACAGTGTTTGTGACTAAGTGGCTACTAAAAAAGACTGGACATACTCTGTTTGCAATACCTTGGGTTGTCTACTATTGCAAATGGTATGCCATCATAGGGGTAATTTTCAGTCTTGGGCTACCATAGGGTCTCAAAGGCAACGTACCCAATCTGGCGAATTTTAATGTGAAAAAAATGAAACACAAGCCTTATATTTGACGCTGTAACTTTTGAAAACACCATAAAACCTGTACATGAGGGGTACTGTTGTACTCGGTTTCAAAACAGTAAAAAGTATCACAGCAATAATATCGTCCGTGTAAGTGCTGTTTGTGCTTGAAAAATGCAAAAAACGTCACTTTTACTGGCGATATCATCGTTGTAATATATTTTACTGTTTTGAAACACTAATATTTGTGTTCAGCGAAGTCCCCCGAGTAGAACAGTACCCCCTATGCACAGGTTTTATGGTGTCTTGGAAAGTTATAGGGTTAAATATAGTGCTAGCAAATTAAATTCCCTTTACTTTCGGCATGGGTGGTCAGGCAGGTCATGCTAATTGTAATTAATTAAAATATCCAATTATGTAAAATTATTACATAAATATATATGTAGAATTAATATATGTATATATATATATATATATATATATATATATATATATATACACACACACACCGTATATATATATATATGTATGTGACTATTAGAGATGTCGCGAACCGTTGGCGAACTTCTCACGAACGGTTCACCACGAGCTGTTCGTGGCAAACTCTGGTCAGCTGACACGTCCCGGCCAATCTCCAGCAGACCCTCCCTCCCATACCCTCCTACTTCCTGGACAGCATCCATGTTCTCCAGCAAACCCTCCCTCCCAGACCCTCCTACTTCCTGGACAGCATCCATGTTTCAACATGGATGCTGTCCAGGAAGTAGGAGGGCCTGGGAGGGAGGGTCTGCTGGAGATTGGCCGGGACGTGTGAGCTGACCGGAGTTCGCCACGAACAGTTCGTGGCGACCCGTTCGCGAGAAGTTCGCGGACGGTTCGCGACATCTCTAGTGACTATATATGTATATATATATAATTTTTAAAATATTTTTATTTATATATAGGTATATATAGTGATATATACGTATATATTTATGTATATAGATATATTATTTCGTTCTACGTGTATTTTGATATAAATATATATAAATATCACAATTAGAGAACTGTGATGTTTAGTTAGAACGAAATAATACACATCTATATATTTTTTTTATTTTTTTTTATTATTATTTTTTTTTAACGTATTTACATATTTAATTTTTTTATATTATATATAAATATATATATATAGAAATAATTATTGATAAAGACCGCTTGACGGTCGAAACGTTGATTTGTTTGCCTAGTATATAAATATAAATTTTTCTAAACCCAGTGAGTGCTCTCATTTCTCTGGATTTTATATTTTGCACTGAGAAGCACCTTGGTCTGAATTTTTCTGAGATTTTGTTGGGGAAGAGTGCCAGAATTTGTAAATATTTGTATATAGCAATAATTATATATATATATATATATATATATATATATATATATATATATATATATATATATATATATATATATATATATATTTAATCAGTATCAGTCTACGTGTAATTTGATAATATATATATATATAATTATATATATATTAATAGTTAAATACACCTGGACAGTGTATGTATTTATATGTGAGTATATATAATATATACTTAGATCATATATATATAAATTATATATATATGATCTAAGCATATATTATTTTTTTTTTACACTTTTAACATTTATTTGATTTTATTTTCAGCCAGCAGGGGGACCACCTGTCATTACAGGCAGCCCCCCTGCTGGCAATACAGAAGCCAGCTATCCCGGCTATGTGATTGTGAGGTCCTCGCAAGGACCTCACTCTCACATGGCCGGGGGGGCTTCCAGGGGGTCGGACGTGCCGCGGGGGGCTCCCTGGGAGTCCCCCCAACCGCGATCGCCGGCGTGGGATCGCCGGCGACCGAGTAAGTAATGAAAGACCGGAGGGCGTACTATTACGCCCGGCGGCGTTTAGAGCAGCCTAAAATAGGGCGTAATAGTACGCCCTCCGGTCTTAAGGGGTTAATGTAAGCAGTGTCTGAAGGTAAACAAGGAGCATCACAAATAGCCTTTGAGAGAGTTACAAGCAGTAAGATAAGGTGTTATACTGAGGGATGTATGCAGTCATAAGAGTTATTGAGATTATTTAATAGAGTATGAGGGTAGTATGTATTTAGGGGTCATTTTAGGTGGATAATATGCATTAAAATTATCTAAATGAAGGGCTTCACATATAATTATAAAAACAAAGAATATGAGAACTCTGGGAACGAACAAAAGCTTAGAGAAACTCAGTAACTTGCCCTTCGGTAAATCCCAGCTCAGAACTCAAAATAATTTGTGCCATTAGAGAGAGAACATATCTGAAGCATATCAGACTGGTCCCACCTGTACGGGCAGCCCAGAACGGAAATGCCAGCAAGTTCCCTTTGCATGAGAGACACATGAACCCCAGACGGCCGCCTCGGTCTTCCCTGGACCTCATCAGTGAAGTGTAGCCGATAAGTGTACCCGTTAACGTCTGGATTACCCTCTTAACTTGGGGAGAGCCAAGTTAATGCATTGAAGCAAAAACAAAGAATATGAGAACATATGAATATGATGAAATATAAGGATGGATCATAAGGAGCACTGTGAATGTTTGCAGAGCACCTATATAGAATAACAGGTAAAAGAAGGGACTACATTGAAAGAAAAAAAAAAAGTTATGGAGTAGCATACACATTACTAGTTCTAAAAATTTTTTTTACATTAAAATGTGTTTGAGTCATACACTTTGCTTTCTTCTTTTTAAAATTAGAGGGGATGAGAACTTTCATTCAAGAAATGGCATGAAAACACACACACACACAAAAAAAAAATCTATATTTTTCATGTCTCTCTTGGGTAATGTCTTGCATTCTAAATTAGCATGCATATAGAGGTTATCTCAAAATCATAACCAGCTTGTATTTCTCACTGTGTATGCTCTGCTACCAATTTAATATAAAATAGAATTTAATCAGCAGAGTTGGACAGTCTTTCAGCACAAGGTGTCCACTTGAAGTGAATCAACTTTCTAAGAGAACTATATAATTTTTCCTGGCCAATGTATTAAATTCTTGATAAGAAATATTCAAATTATGCCACATTGAAATATTCAGTTTTTGCAACATTTACAACAATGTGTCTGATGTAACGATCACTCTTTCCCCCATTACCACCCTCCTATAAATTCACTTAATTGACTTCAGAATAACATTGACCAGACTATTTAGTGGTTGTTGAAAGATAGTTACAAAACAAAACAATTTTAGGGATTTCATAGCTATACCTCTATCTCTTCTGTCAAGTTTATTTTTCCTGTTTTTATGGTGTACGGATTAAAAATAATAAAAATGTATCTTGTCCATTCAGTAACTAACTTTTCTCAGATTCTAATGGAACACATTTATTACATCACACATTTTATTCTATCCAACTTTCTTTTCATTACATATTGCAATGAGAATTATAATGTACGCACATGTTTTGGGAACATGCCATGATCATTAGCAATCTATAGAGCTTTACTTTAATTATTAAGTAATGACTTGGAAAACCTCTGAAAAATATGCCAACTCTGAAATGTATAAAAGTATTTCAGAAGTTTTAAAAAAAACAAAAAACAAAAAAACAAAACAAAACAAAAAAACCTGTAAAATCTTCAGGAAACCTCTCTTATTAAAATGAAAACCCGCTAACAGTTTAAATGATATGCTTTCCTGAAGAAGTGTGTTTTCAAAGATATTTGAAGGAGTGGAGACTGGGTGAAAGTCTAACGGAGAAGGGAAGGGAGTTCCACAGAAAAGGTCCAGCCCTGAAGAAGTCTTGGAGGCGAGCATCAGATGTGGGCGTACAGACAGAGGATAGATGTAGATTTTTGGTAGAGCGCAGGGGCCTCGATGGCATATACTTGTGTATTAGGGAGAATCTTAAATTGAGCCCTATATCTAACTGGAAGCCAGTGCAGGGACTGACAGAGGGGAGGTGTGGGCGGACAGGAAAATGAGCCTCGCCGCCGCATTCATTATAGATTGCAGCTGGGCAATCTGGGAACACATCACAGTTTAAGGAAGTGAGCAGCCATCCAGTTGGAAATCGCAGAGAGGCAGTCAGAGGCACAAGTCAAGATTGGCTGAAGGAGATCAGGAGAGGACAGGTAGATTTATGTGTCATCTGCATATAAATGATACAAAGGAGCTTATGAGTTTACCAAAAGAGGCAGTGCAGACTGAGAACAATAGGGAACCAAGGACAGTACCTTGGGGAACGCCAACAGAGAGGGGTTGGGGAGAAGAGGCAGAGCCAGAGAGAGAAACACTGAAAGAGCGCTGGTAAAGGTAGGAGGAGCACCAGGAGAGGGCAGTATCTCATAGACCAAGATTACGGAGAATGAGAAGATGCTGTTGATGACCAGCAGTGTCAAAGGCAGCAGAAAGATCAAGGAGAATTAGGATAGAGTAATAGCCGCGAGATTTAGCAGCGATTAAATCGTTGGATACTTTGGTCATAGCGGTTTCAACAGAGTGATGAGCGCAGAATCCAGACTGAAGAGGGTCAAGCAGAGTGTTGGATTCGAGGAAGTCTGTCAATCTTGCATACACAACTCTCTCAAGGATCTTTGAGGCAAATGGCAGTAGCAATATAGGGCGGTGGTTGGATGGGGAGTTGGTGTCAAGGTTTGGCTTTTTCAGAATCGTCGTTATAGTTGCATGCTTGAAGAGTGAAGGAAATGTGCCGGAGGAAAGGGAGAGATTAAAAACTTAGTGAGAGGAAGAGCAAGAGAGGGAGACAGAGTGCGGATGAGATATGAGGAAATCGGATCAAAGGAACTAGTGGTGGGGCGGGAGGACCGGTGCAGAGCAGAAACCTCTTCGTTGTAATATATGCGAATGAGCATAGAACAGTGGAGTGAGTGGAGTTGGATGATGTATTGGAAGGGGAGGGAGAGAGGTTAGAGATCTCTTCCCTGATTGTATTTAATTAAAATATTAAATCAGCCGACTTCTGTTTTCTGGCAGATATAACTCGCCTTACATATTTAAAAAATGTGAATGCAGACACACAAAATAGAGTCCACAAGCAAACACATCAAATTTTGAGGCTGGTCAGAAGTGTACTAAGTGGGGCACATAGCACCCCTTCCTACACTGCCAATCATTGACTGGGACCACAATAGAGGATCTTTAATGTTCCTCTGACCCGGAGCTGCAAGTGGCATGGAGGGGTGGGGAATGTACATAATATTTTGCTTCTCTTGAAATTTACTGCATGCGTTAGGGGTATTAAAGAGACAATAGAAGCACGAAAACAACTTTACCTTAATTCTCTACTACTTAGGAATTAAATCATTTTGTTTATGGAGCCCTAGTCAAACCTCCCTGCCTATGACCTACATGGTTTCCCTACACATTTCCTGTTAAGAGAGATCTAATGTTTAAACTTATTTTATTGCAAGACAGTTTAATTTAGAATTTCTATATCCTGCTCTGTTAATGTGTGTGATTAGAGTTTCTTTTTACAGAGCTTAGCTTAGAAGTTTAACAACTTCTAAAGGTAAACACACTGTGCAGTCACATCTGATTGAAAATTAAACCATTTTTCATGAAGGCCAGGAGATGTGAGGTTAGAGTTGAATATACAGAAGCAAGAGTGATGTAGGTAATAGAGAATTTAGCAGTAAGACTGCAGGGGCATGCTCTATACAACGATGTCACTAAGCTAATTTGTTTTTTGTTGCTTAGAGTATCTCTAGGAGGCAAACAAGGGTGGGGGGTGCAGAGGGATATAAATGAGGATGCTGCAATTCACAATGAACTTTAAATATGT